CCAGAGTGACCCTCTTCATTTGAAATGGCAATTATAGGGTAGGTATGCGTTGAAATGATCAAGCATTTTGTTAACTGCATTCGTGGAAAGAAATGGGAAATCCTGACTTAGGCAGTACCATGACACATCTGACACCATCTACCAGATATCACTTAGTTGACTTTCTTCATTAAGCTATAGTTTAGTGAAATAGTTTTATTGTTTGTTCTACTCTCATTTTTGATAGTAGGGGCAATTAGGTGCTCTGCCATTGTATCTCCATCGGATGACCAGGCCTCCGAGCCATACCGGTACACCACAAGCCCTACTTCATGACGAATATATATTATGCCCTAGTATTATCTCTTCTCTTTTCTTCAAATAAGTCTCGACGCGCTACAGTTGTGGACAGCTATCCCGATTTCTACTGCTGGGTGACACAGGAGCGTGACAGAAGAAGTGTATTTTCTGCGGATTGGAGAATAGATAGTGACCCCTAGGAGAAAGTCTGATAATGACGTCCACATTTGGCAAGTTCCTCAGCTCCGTGGTCTGCAGGAAAGCTATTAATAACTGCGTATCTTCCATTTCAAATGAGCAGCCAAGGTTGTTGGAACTTTAGCATGGGAATGACTGTGGGAGACCAGTGCCCACCACACCAGTGCTCATACAAAGCCCAATCTTCTGGGAATAGGGTGGTGCGCGTGAGAAGTGTGGATTCGGAGGAGAAAGTAAATTGCACGCGGACAGGTAATGTCACGTTTGTTCACTCAATGAATATTGCGTTTTCACGCTGGACTATTTGTTGCTGAAAGTCAATTAGCGCGTCGGCTGAAAAAACAAAAGCGAAGTTTCTTTTTCTGATACGTAAATTCGATTCAAACATTTCTGGAGGTATATTCATCAGGCTAATCCCCAATAAATGCATGGCAAATGTGACACTTTCTTCAGTATTGGTTGTCAAGACCAGAGGAACTTCCAGTCGAGGTATGCCCGTGCTAATTATATCCCTATGTTTATTTTCAGACAGTAAATACAAGGTCATCCAATAGCAGAATCCTTTAAATCTACCAAAGGTAGACTTGCTCCTTGAACTCCTGTACAAGAAGTGGATGAGCTATAGGTGTGCACCAAAGACCACACCACCATGATAGAGGTACACACCGTGGATACTAAGTAATGTACCACTCACGCACGCTTTGTTCTGTTGCGTGTCCCTGTAGGAATGGATCTCCGGCTCTGTTTGTAAACGAAATAATTAAAAGGTGCACATTTTGTCTACTTTGGCAGCATGTTTGCACGCAATATAGAGTTTTAACATACTCTCATCCGCATTTGTTCGGCCGTCACCATGCAGACAACTCCCAGTGAGTAAACGTCTCTGTAGTTCACCGAACACACACTCATAAAGTACAGCCATCATTGGTGAGCCGGCTGATAATCTAATAACATTGTTTTTGGTTCATACAAAGTGCGTGAAAGGAGTGAACTGCAAGTTGACAGGCCCTAAAGCTATTTGTCCCTCATCTGCTAATGAGCAGCATGTAGCCAGCACTCACTCCAGCAATTTTCACGACTTTCTTCTGCGTTTAAAGCAGGTGCAGGCCATCACTTCTCTGGCAAAACCACAATTTCATCATTGGAGAAGTTGCTATCGATGTCAATATGTGATGTTTCTTACATATCAGGCGTTGAAGAGTCGGATGCAACACGTCATTCGTTAGTCCTCAGCACTTTACTGCGAAGACTAGGGGATGTTATCCCCTTCACGTGACCTTTACGTGATCCAGGAAATTAACTTAAGTGATGCGAGAGGCGTATCGTTGTGCCACACCATACCTACCACAAACCTCCGCAAATATGATATAATGTATTTGGGGAAGTCACTAGCCCTAAATTCAATCATTTTCTGAAAAAGTCTCTATAAGCCTCCAAAAATGATTTACCCATAAGCATAGTTATAACGGTTAACATTTGCTAGAGTTATCCTTCCTAACACTCGGAGCAGACAGGATGACATGTGGAGGGGGGATTAACACTCCCCAACAAAACAGGTTTCCATACTCGGTAAGTACAGTGTAGTATGTATCAATTAGGAGGATACTAAACATAGAAATCACTATGAAACTGAAGATTTCATTTCTGTCTGTCAGCATATTTATGATCTCGATTCCATTATTGAAAACCACATCCACTTCGTTAACTTTCACCTCTGTGATTAGTCTGAATTGAAGGCAGCAAATCCAACCTGTGATAGATCATCCTTGTCACCTTTCTAATGCACATGGTTGATGTGTATGCCTGCCGGATGTGCTCAGTAATGTCCACATTATAGTGCATATTGGCTACTCTTTCAAATTGAATATTCCCTGCTATCAGTGTGTTGTGGAGAGGTCACTTTCATTTTTAAATCGGCCATCTATTACTACTCACTGTAGTTGTGGCGAACATCCAAAATTATTTTGAAGAGAGTGTCCTATAACATTGTGGGGGCTATACAGCTTGATGGACGCATCAAAGTACCAAACACCCCAATCCTAGAATACCCAAACCTCAAAACACAAAATCACCAAAGAAGACTGGTTAATAAATCCTGTTTTTCAATAGATTGGTGTGAGAGATTTAATTGTAAGAGGCAACTCAGATTTTGAATCCTCAATTCCATGGATCACGTCACAGACCTCACCTCATAGTAAAAGTAATCATAGAGCACTGCATATCGATGTAAAAGTGCTCAACTAGGCATTCTCTGCCTCAGCTCATCCCGACCTAATCCATCTCATGTTTTCAAATCCAAACACTCAATTGGCGTTTTAAAAGAATAAAGAAATTTTTATGTTATGTAAAAGTTGGACATTAAGTTAAATCTACTTCCATTTTTACTCCCGCCTTCCAAACCTAGACTCGTTGTCCTGAGATCGTAGCAAGTGTGGAACACTTAGAATTCCCAACTCATTAAACAAAAAAACATTTTTGCATTTTTCAAGACAAATACTTTTGGCATTATCGCCTTGGTAGCATTTACCTCATAATTGGAGACGTACTTGTAGAACGTAGGCAGTTTGAATGGCTGGAGAGCTACCTTGTTGCGTCTGTCGATGAAATCACACAATGAATGTTTTTGTTATCTACGTCAGCCTCTTCTGCAGTATCATTACTGTGTGATGTAAGGGTCGACAAATTACTTTTAGAATCTGATGCACTTCTTTTCAATGAAGGAATCTGTTTTCTCTTCCAAAAAATGGATCTTCTTCGCTTCGTAACAAACCGTGCCTGCTTGGAGGATCATTTAATCTAGCGCAGTGTCTCACCGGGTTACGATTTATTGAGGCTTTGGATTCATGGACATCATCAAACTTGATTAGGTTTGGTATGTCAGTTGAGGACTGCCTTGTTTAAGTTATTCAGATGAAGTAGAATCACTACTATATGATTTGGCATTCTGACATAATCTGTCGAGTTTTAAAGCCTGATGTCGAGGAACATATGGCATTTACCACTACAACAAACTGGGGATAAACACGCGAGGAATAAACTCTGGCAGTTTTTGGCAGGGTGAAAATTCGTTTGCACTTACATTAACGGGAAAGGAGGCTTCGCTTTTGTACGGTCAGCCAACTCACTGATTGACTTTTGGTAACTAATAGTCCAACGCAAAAATGCAATATTCGTTGAGTGAACGAACGTGGCATTACTTCTGTCCCACAATTTACTTTCTCCCCAATCTGTCCCAAGGAGACTGGACTTTGTGTGCTAAAAGTCCAACAGACTACGGCCGCTCATTTGAAGAGGGAGATAAGCAAGAAAAGCTTTATCTTAAAAGTTGTCAGTGAGGAGATTCGCCTCAGTATAATGAAAGAAAACGCCTAATTTTTCGTGTTCTCCTGGGAATGTTTCAACGTGATCGTCATCAGCCGTTACTGATAACAATCACACGATCATATGCCAAAGAGGCAATTATTAGGTGAAGGTGGGGTAGAGCTAGATTTTGTTAAAAGGAGTTGGGAATTGTAACTCTGATAATTTAATTGAACTTTACACACTTCGTAAATTACTTCAAACTCTTCCAATTTCATGAAAGTCGTTTTAGACATGAAACAGTCTATAATTTGGCGCCTCAAGACTTTTATGAAAATGGACGAAGACAAAATACTCGAACAGAATATGTACTGTTAGCGTACAATTGGGGTTGGGGCTACTGACACGGTCCGGAGGGCATCCCACCTGGCGGGGGTACAACAGCGTAGCCCTAAGTAGTCTATTATCAAAATGCAAAGTTAAATAAACACTTAAAGCATTCCACAACCTACCTCCTTTGGGAGTTGTCCTCAGCGCTCTCCTTGGTCAACCTCCCACCTCAGCCATCGCAACGCACTTGGCGCGGTAGGGAAAGCACCCACTAGACAATCGTATTAGTGATTTAGTTTCCATGCATTTGAGAAGATACGTGACTGCAAAGTACTAATTTTTGGAATTTCGTCCTGTTTGAGAACTGTATTGGGTAGGAGTATAAACTGGCCATCCCTTATATCCATTACTAGTCGAATATTAAAACGGTTTTGTGGGGTTGAGGTCTTGCATTTATTCCTGCTTGCCACTGTTCAGACTTCAGTGTTGCCTAGCTGTAAATATTCCTGGAGTCCATTCGGCTTGTGGAGAAGTAGAGGAGGTATCGCGTATGCATATAAATGATGCCTTCGTATAAGTGCCGTAGACAGCTCCGTAACAAACTTTCCCGATGGTTGACGACTAGTGGCATTCACCTGTTAATAACTTTGCTACAGTCCACGGATCTGAGGTAGTGGTTAAAGGGCGACATCATTTTTAGCCACAGATTGTCACAGATTCTTCCATCTGTAGCAAACACACTTCATCATGCTAGGTTAAATCACCCATCAGTGGAGATCGGGATTGATGTTCCTCAGGATCGGGTCCGGTTTCTGCTGCCACAAATGTGGCACTTAGAGACTTCTTTTATGCTGAGAGAAGACGTTTTACTAGGACAAAATGTGAACATCAGACAAAAAGCAGGACTTAGGTCTACTCTAATACCCTGGACGTCAGGCTACCCAGAATAGGTACAATGGCGGAGGACCTGCGTGGGCTATTACTTGAGCACGCAGTTAAATAAACAAAGTTATTATTACTAATCCATTTCGTCATTAGCAAAGGATCAGCTGTCAGATGTCCGGTAGTTAATGTCAGATTTGTGTTACGGCCACCACTTTACCCCATCAGAAAGTGCTTTGTTTACAATACACCACCGAAGGTAGAAATTTCGATTACTTGACAAGAATCCAAACAATGAAAAGCCGGATCATTTCGACTCATACCCAACAAATAATTTTCAGA